GTTAGGAAAAGATAGGTCTTTCAAATTGGCTTGAAGAGTGAAATTTAGATGCAACCTTAAGAATGCATATCACATCAAGGTCAACTCAATATAATCATAGGATGTTAATGATGAGCCTAAATAAAGTGAAATCATTAAGTAAACATGCCTAAATTACTAATACAAGTCTTAAAATACTACTAAAATGTGTTAAAAATATTTAAACTACCTAAATGCTGAGTTTCTAGATATGACCCTAAAATACTAATGCAATTCCTATAACTAAGTGTAATGCTATAGTTAATCAAAATAAGTGAAAAAGAATAGAAAAATGAGTTGCCTCCCATTAAACGCTTAATTTAAAGTTTCAAGCCCGTCTTTTGTACAATTCTTTCATGGCACTTTGAATATGCTTTGGAGGGCATGCTTAACTTGCTCAATTTGACTTTGTTTCGTATTTCAACTTTCCTCCAAATTTTAACCTTTCCCTGCTCCAAATAGTATGATTTCTCCTCATCACCCGTTTCAAACTCAACAATATACACCTCAATCTTCTCATAAGGTATAATCATAAACTCAATTTTTGAGAAACGATAAAGTCGAGGGGTTGCATGCTAATTTCCTCTTCTTTGATTGCTACTAATTCTTTTTTGCTCGTTATGATTATCGTCTCGATCTTTTCATGCTCCTCTTCTTAAATTGAAATTTTCTCGAGTTCAACGTTTGTATCCAAAACTTTTGGCAAAAAAAAATAATAACATGTTCATGGAAAGTCTCATCCTCTTATTGTATTTGTTGGAAGTCTGATGGATCTAATTCCCTTAATTAATGTTTATTAATAATCGGTGGAAGAAATAATGTCACAGGCAAATCATCCATGTCAAATTTTGGTAAGAGAAATAATACAATAGGCAAGTCACCCAAGACAGTTTCATCAAGTTCACATTTCACTTTTATGTCTCCTAATTATTGTCCTATAATGAAATCTCCCACAAACATATTTTCTTTATCAATTTCTTGAGTTATCAATTTTGTCTTTTGATGAAGTCACATACGAGCATTTTGTTGAAATCAATACAATCATCTTTTATCCTGTTATTTTTTATATTTTTATATCCTCAAAAGGAGAAAAAAACAAAAAGGAATTAAAATTAAAATAGAAAAAAATTTATTTATTTTCATGTTCTTATGAAGTAGAAGTTCGAATTAGTGCTAAAATAAATCGAACTCAATCTAAAGTAACAATCTCCGACAACGGCGCCAAAAACTTGTTTACGAAAATATATTTTGAATTTAAACTAGTACAATTTTCGTGGGAACGATACTTGAACTCAATATCCATTTTACTAATTGTTAACGATCCGTACACTTGTGATGATTTTAATTCGAATGATATTTTCGCGAACACTATGTAGAAAAAAGAGTTTAAGAATAATGATTTTCAAACACGGGCTTAATGTCACATTAGTGTCAACTAAATTAACGTTTTAATATTAGTGTCACTAAATAACATTACTCTAAAATAAAAATGGAGAGAATTGTAGACTGTTATAGACAAGAAAATCTAATATGTGAAAAGCTGTTAAGATAATATAAAATTTCTCACTCAACCAAACCTTCAAGTAACCTAGGAAAAGTAACCTAAATTTTATCATGATCACAAGTTTTCTACTCTGATAAATTACAAAGAGAGCAAGAAAAATTTTAGGGTACTAGACTTATAATTTTTCATGCAAGTCAAGTACTAAATACAAGAGGAAACCATAAGATGAACGATTGTAATATTTTGCCAAATTTTCAGTACTTTAATAATCAATTTTTAGATCTTTTAGCATCTTTTCGTTACTACAAAAGATAATGTTTTATTTTGGCATTTTTTTTCCAACAATCTATGTGACACAATTTAATCCCTTTGTGACAATAAATTTAACTTTATTCCCAATAAAGTTGAAATCGACGATACAAAACCTCTTCGTTTTTCAGCTATTTGATATTTTATAATTTCTAACTCATCAATTGTTTTATTTCCTCGTTAAGCTTATCCTTAATTTATAATATTTCTGACTTCTTTAAGTGGATGTATAATGAAGGAATTGCTCTTATTTGTTTCTGTGTTACTCAAAATGCATTAAAAAAAAAAATTTAACGGTTACTATAGTCCTGTGGAACCGTGGATGCAACTATTGTAGGAAGTCTCGAAATAAATGAAATCCAAAAAATTACGTTTAATGGTTCAAGAAAGAAACTACAATCAAGGAACATGTCGGGATCAACATTAGATTGTGCTGTAGGTAAGGAAGTCTCGAAATAAATGAAATCCATAAAATTACGTTAAATGTTTCAAGAAAGATACTACTATCAAGGAACATGTCGGGATCTACTTTAGATTGTGCTGTAGGTGTTGAAGATTCAATCGTGAAGATGAGCTACTGGAAGCTACTGGAAGCTGCTGGCAACTACTGGAATGAAGGAGTGCTGGCACCAAGTTTGCGGGAATAAAGGAGTGCTAGCACTAATCTGGAAAATGTTAAATAAGATTCCATTTATTGGTTGTAATTGGTTGTAACAGATTTGTTATTGCCACATGAGTAAGTTTGTTGTAATTTTTGTCTATATATACTTTTGTATTTTGTCCATTCAATCAATCGAATAGAGATTCACACTTAGCAGACAAATTACTGCTGCATTGATTATTTACATTTCTTGTTTCATTTGTTTTATGGTATCAGAGCATGGCTGATAATGAAACAACCAGTGTTACTGATACAAACCAAAACCAAGTTCCACAGCAAAACACAAATCCCATTCAAAATGCCCATGATCCATCTCTTCCAAATAGCCCGTACTTCATTGGAGCAAACGAAAACTCTGGAGCACTTCTAGTAACTCAGATGCTTGACTCCAGCAATTATCACTCCTGGGCAAGGTCGATGAAAAGGGCACTTCGAATCAAAAACAAGCTCAGCTTCATTGATGGAAACATCTGTGAACCTACTGATGTTGATAGCCCACTGCTAGAACACTGGCTCCGTTGCAATGACATAGTCATCACTTGGCTACAAAATACTATGGCAGTGGACATTGAGGCTAGCACACTCTATGCAGAGACGGCTCATCAACTCTGGCTGGAACTAGAGCAACGCCTGGCTCAACAAAATGCTCCCAGAATTTTTGAAGTTAAACAGGGAATAACAACATTAATGCAGGGGCAAGACTCTGTCAGTACTTATTTTTCGAAACTCAAAACCTTACTTGATGAACTCATGAACTATGAGGCAATTCCTAATTGCACCTGTGGGGGTCTACAGACTGTTATCAGCAACCAAGAAAGAGATTGGGTGATGAAATTTCTAATGGGGCTGAATGATTCTTACAAGAGCATTAAGGCTCAAATTCTGTTGATAAAACCTTTTCCCAAGTTAAATGAGGTATATTCCATCATACAGCATGAGGAGAAGAGAAGAGATATCTCTTCTGATGCTCCAATTTCTGAAGGAATGGGAATGATGGTAAGAAGAAATAACTTGAAGGAAGCAGAGAAGAGAGATTATGTGGCTCAAAGAAAGTACTTCTGCACGTTCTGTAAGATTTCTGGTCATTCACTTGAAAGGTGTTTCAAGGCCAACAAAGATAAACCAATGCGCACGCCAACATACGAGCATTTTGTTGAAATCAATACAATCATCTTTTATCCTGTTATTTTTTATATTTTTATATCCTCAAAAGGAGAAAAAAACAAAAAAGGAATTAAAATTAAAATAGAAAAATTAAATAAATAAAAGTACAAGAATACAAGTAGAAGTTCGAATTAGTGCTAAAATAAATCGAACTCAATCTAAAGTAACAATCTCCGACAACGGCGCCAAAAACTTGTTTACGAAAATATATTTTGAATTTAAACTAGTACAATTTTCGTGGGAACGATACTTGAACTCAATATCCATTTTACTAATTGTTAACGATCCGTACACTTGTGATGATTTTAATTCGAATGATATTTTCGCGAACACTATGTAGAAAAAAGAGTTTAAGAATAATGATTTTCAAACACGGGCTTAATGTCACATTAGTGTCAACTAAATTAACGTTTTAATATTAGTGTCACTAAATAACATTACTCTAAAATAAAAATGGAGAGAATTGTAGACTGTTATAGACAAGAAAATCTAATATGTGAAAAGCTGTTAAGATAATATAAAATTTCTCACTCAACCAAACCTTCAAGTAACCTAGGAAAAGTAACCTAAATTTTATCATGATCACAAGTTTTCTACTCTGATAAATTACAAAGAGAGCAAGAAAAATTTTAGGGTACTAGACTTATAATTTTTCATGCAAGTCAAGTACTAAATACAAGAGGAAACCATAAGATGAACGATTGTAATATTTTGCCAAATTTTCAGTACTTTAATAATCAATTTTTAGATCTTTTAGCATCTTTTCGTTACTACAAAAGATAATGTTTTATTTTGGCATTTTTTTTCCAACAATCTATGTGACACAATTTAATCCCTTTGTGACAATAAATTTAACTTTATTCCCAATAAAGTTGAAATCGACGATACAAAACCTCTTCGTTTTTCAGCTATTTGATATTTTATAATTTCTAACTCATCAATTGTTTTATTTCCTCGTTAAGCTTATCCTTAATTTATAATATTTCTGACTTCTTTAAGTGGATGTATAATGAAGGAATTGCTCTTATTTGTTTCTGTGTTACTCAAAATGCATTAAAAAAATTTTTTTAACGGTTACTATAGTCCTGTGGAACCGTGGATGCAACTATTGTAGGAAGTCTCGAAATAAATGGACTCCAAAAAATTACGTTTAATGGTTCAAGAAAGCAACTACAATCAAGGAACATGTCGGGATCAACATTAGATTGTGCTGTAGGTACTAAACTTTACACAATCTTTTGTGAACCGCTCGAATATAACCAAGAAAACGAATACAATAAAAACTTAAAACATTTTGCCCCTAATTAATATAAAACTCAGACTAATACTGAATCTTCTTAGCTATTAACAGAGGGGCAGATCTGCAGGAGGTGCCTCCAACGTTTGCAATTCTCCCACTCCATTTTCCACCAAGAAAGCCATTGCCAAGCCCCAAGTGATGTGAACGTCCAAGTGACAGTGCATTATCCATACTCCTGTTTAACACATCAATTTGAAATATATGAGAAAAAAATGACATATTAAAAAAATGAATGTGCATATGATTCTTCAGGATAGTTGTCACCTGGATTATCTGCGACAAATCTAATCACGCTCCATCCACCAACAGGTACACTAGCTGTATTTCGTTGTGGCGGATCAACGAGATTGAATTTGGCTGTATCTCTATTTGGATTGAAATTTCCAAATCCTTCAGCAAGGATATAGAAGTCATATCCATGAAGATGAATAGGATGGTTTTCAGTTGTGAAGATATTTGTTCCCTGCAACACTATTTGTACTCGTGCTCCATACTTTAATCTGTACACCTTAGTCCCGCGAGCAGGTTGCCATAGTGATCGGCTTACATTACCAGTGTAATCAAATTTCTGAGGTGGATTTGCTGGAAAATCAGTTGTGAAAACTCCAGGTATACGCTGTTGATGTGCTTGCAGCAGGGAAAAATTGGATGGAAGCACAAACGATACATTGTTCATACCGGCAGTGAATCGAGTCCCATTTGGTCCTTGACAATTACTACGCCTGGCACCACGGGGGCAATTGTTGAGTCCTAAACCAACTGTAATGAAGAGATTCTCATCAATTTCTGTGGGTACTTCTACTTTTCTTGGGCTTCTCAAGCTTTTTGTGAAGGCAGTTGCAGTGGCAGTGTCGTTAAATGCAGGTAGAGAAGGCATAACTGGCTTGGTCGAGGTGCATTTAGCTAGGCAAGGGGCAGTCTCGTATTCAAGAATGGCTGTGGTGGTGGTATTATCGAATGGTGCAGCTTGAGCACTAGCGTAGGCACGTGCTGCAATGTAGTACTTGGCTGGTGGTTGATCGGCAGTGATTAGGACATCGGTTGTCTGGCCGGGTCCGAGCATAAGAACTGAAGTGGTGAAGGGTTTGAGATATAAAGCATCAGCACCAACAACCGTGAGTTTGTGGTTGGCTATTGTAAAGAAGAGTTGTTGATTCAGTGCAGAGTTAATGATTCGAAGGAGATTTGTTTCACCAGAATTCACCGGAACTAGGATTGTATCTGCATCAGAATATAGTGTCAGACATTATAGTCAATTTGTGATTGTCTTTAGTCCATAAGTGACTATTTCAAAGACTAAGTAGGATGAGAAGATATTTATTTTCAGGAAATGTTATAGGAGAATAAATGTATAAACAAACCTTTTTGGGAGCAGTTGTAAAGATCACCAGGTTGACCATTGATAGTGTAAGCATTGGAAACATTTGGAGCAGCTCCTGTTCTTGTAGCTTGCCTCACAACATCAATGGGGTTTGCATCCCACCACTCACCTGATCGTCGTCACAATCAGTGTCAACCCAAATTTCAAAAGTAATAGAAATACATATATACTGATCACTTAAGTCGTGCTTCCATGGTGACTTCGACTTGTTGGCATAGGCACCAACCTCAAGTAATAAGATATTTAACATACCAAGAAGAAGAGGTGTTTCGCGCTTTGGCTCGGGGAAGGGATAAGAATCTCCTGGTCGTGGCCGAATAATCAAGGCTCCATAGACCGTGGCTCTGAGCCATGAGCTATGGGCATGCCACCAAAGTGTGCCTTCTTGTCCTTGAATTGTAAATTTGTAAGTATAACTGTGTCCTGGTCTAATTGGACATTGAGTTACAAATTCTGGTCCATCAGCCCATGCAGTTCTCATTTGTCGCACCCCATGCCTATATATATTGGTCAAACAAATATGCACAATTGGTTAGTATCAATTGTTCTACCAAGCTTAAATTTTAGAAAAAAGAAATATGTTCTGTGTTGTAATTGAAGTCGCTTTTTTTTTATAAGATGTCGTGCACGAGTAATTTTCGTAAAACCTTTCTCACCCTCCGACTACTATGTTAACTACGTGTGATATTTTTAAAGTTTAAACTCTTAGAGAATGAACATTCTTTTTGTTTCTATTTAAATCACTCTGGGTGGCGTATTTTGTTAATGAATATTATAAAATATCATACATTTGACGTACCAATGAATGGTGACATTGTATCGAGCTTTGTTGATGACTTTGACAACTAGAGTATCACCATTGTTCACTTCCAATGTTGGTCCAGGATACATTCCATTCACTGTAATAGTGTTGTGGGTTTTGCACAGCCTCTTCACTGGTGTTGCTTGAACCTGCATTTCCATGTATATATCAATGTTAATATTTAATAATTTCAAAGTAAACCTGGACGAAGATAAAATTTGGAAAAAAGTGAGATAAAACATACAACAAAATCATGGTAATGAGTTTTTGCATTTGTTCTTGGCATTGAGCTTGCAAAGTGCAAGAATATGCCTAAAAACAAGAAAGTGCACAAGGAATTGACAATATTTCTGAAGGACTCCATTTCTCTTTAGAATGTGATGTAAATGGAAATGGATGCTTTTCTGTGGAGGAATAACACAGAGAGGAATCCCTTTTATACAAAAGATTTATAGAGAGAGAAAGAGGAGAGAGAGGATGGTTCTTTATTCGGTATAGAGGGAAACTTAGTTCAATCCTAAATGAGTGGGTGCACCCGCTGGCATATCAATCAGTACTGAACAACTTTGATTTACACTTGCTTTTCAAGTCTTCTTTCTGATGTGGGATTTTTAAACTTTGACTTGGTTTTTTAAGCAATTTTTGAAGTCATAATCATTTTCAAACAATAATTAAACTTTAATTAGTTGAAATAGTTTAACTTAGTGCCTAAAAGATAATCATACTTTAAGCAAAACAAATTGAATTAGCCTTCTCCATGCTTACTTGAATTTGGAATACTAAGTCATAATCACATAATAACCCTAATTATAATCTGTTTTTTGTTACTTTGAAATGAAAAAAAATAATAATAATTATGTGAAACTGTTGGGACTTTTGTAGAAAATTATTATCTTACTAATAATAAAGATTTTTTTTTTGTATTGATTATGCCCTTCAAATATTGCTAATAATCATTTTTTTTTTTTCATGAATTAATTGGATTGAATAACTGCAGCCATACGCATACAAGTTTTTCACGTTTTCATGCACGAATGGAATATAATATCAAAAGGACAAACCTGCCAATACGTAATTAGGTTTGTAGGAAGTCAAAATTCAGTCTTCAAACGACACTTGCATGGGAAGTATGATTAGGTCCGATAAGACATTTAGATAGAGAATGTCTTGTTTGATTTTTCGTTAGTTAATTAGGTGAAAAAATGTAATAAATTATTCACAAATTTTTGATTTGGTCGTACATAGCAATTCAGTTAGAGAAAACCTACGTGGACAAGTAAATTTGTTGATAACTGAATTAGGTGGCCTGTCTATGAGAAAACGATGCCAACCTTTAAAAAGTGTATGTGTTTTTTTAACCTTAAAAAGGTACTTCAAACATTTTTTTTCGACGGTATGTGAGGTAATCTATGAAACACGAACAACCGCGTTTTTGTTAGTATTCAAAAGAAAAGGGAAGGTAAGAGTTTTTAAGAATACCAATTTTGATATTCGACTACTCGTTGGATAGAATTGTTCACTTTTTGGACTTTGATATTATATTGAAAATTAAAATTAGGTCCCTTTTTAAAGATCCTTAGAAGAAATAACTCAAATCCTATTATATTTATTAATTATTGTTTTCACGTATAAATCATGTAATTTTACCTTTAACGATTGAACTAATGTTAAACAAAGGTTACGACGGTCGATGACGATATGAACATTAGCATAATTGAAAATTGTTTCGTGTACTAACAAATGGTATGCTTATAGGCATTAATTTGATTCTTTAACTTTACTAGAAAGTTGAGTAGTTAGAGGACGTCGATTTTTCCTTATGTATCATTATCAATTTACAAACTTTTTATAATTAAAGAAAAGTTAGCTTGTCTTCTATGAGATGATTAACTTGTTTATTTAATCAAACTTGAGCGTAACATTTAAATTTGAGCTCGATTTTTTAACATCTCTAAATTTTATACTTCGAGAAGAAAGTGAATATTAAAGGCCCGTTTGGCGTGGCTTTTACTTCTATTTTTGCTTCATGTAGAAGAAATTTTGGAAGAAGTTACTTTAAATTTTATTTGGAAATTAATTTTTAAAAGTACTTCTTGAATAGGAAGTACTTTTAGAGAAAACTACATTATAGCAATTTTCTCTAAAACTCTTCTAACTAAAATAATCATTTTTCATAAAATTAGTCAAACGGGTCCAAAAACAACTTTTGGGTCTCAAAAACTCTTTTTGACTTTTCAAAAGTCATGTCAACGAATATGAAGAAATTAACAATACTTCTTTATCTTTTGAGTTGTTGAGCGGGATCGGTTGCTCAAGATCTTTGATCTGTACCCGGTTATAAGTGCATTTTTGTGCACTTATTAAGGCCATATTACTATACTTTTGTGTCGTTTTATTGTTGTATTTTACTTAATTTAGATTAATTTTATCTTATTTCAGTTTTGGACCCGTTTCTGAGCAATTGGAAAAAAAAAAAAAGAATGATAAATTGGCCAATTGATGGAATTTTGGGGACTAATATGCATTTGAGTAAAAGTTGAAACACTAAAATTGAAGTAATTTGATATGGAGGACCAAAATGGAAGAAAAAATGAAGAAAATGGCTGAAAAGAAAATTTGCGAAAGTTTTATAATTGGGCAGCTGCCTAGTTATATTGGTCGGGCGGCCGCCCAGACATCAACATCATCAACATGAGCCATTTTTTAAGCCTGGACGATCACCCAATTTTCTACTGGGCGTCGCCCATGCCAAATCGCGAAAAAAAATTTGATTTCCTTATTTCAATAGAACTCGTATGGAAACAAATCTTGGGTTGCATATTTAAACCATAGAGCCATCCAGAATGTGGGATGTGGGGAAAGATATTCATAAGGGTTTTGAGAGGAGAAAATAGGCAAAAACAAGAAGAGCAACACCACGAAGCGAAGATTAAACTCAAGAATTAAATTGGTGATATCGTTCTTTATTTATTTTTCTGATTTTCTTCTTTCCATCATGCTAGACTAGATTAATTATGTATTAGGGTTATATAAACTATGTAATATGATTCTTAATTTTTAGTGTTACATCTTTGACATTGCGATGCTTGAATGATTTATATGAATTTCCTTTCTCCATAATTATTGCATACGTATTTGTGTGAGTATGGTGGCTTATTTCATGCATTCGAAAGAAGGGGAATACGTTCGATGCGGTATAAATCATCATAGGGTCCGATAGGGGATAGAAATATACCGTTATGCCATATGTGAATCTTTAAGTGCTCACAAAAACTCATGCATTTTTGTATGTTCGCATCTGTCATAGAGATATAGTGGGGTCACATATTAGAATATGTTTGATTTTACTCGAGAGAGACTATTAAATAATATAGGAACATTGATTCGTCAATATTTCAATCGTGTGTCAAAGTGTAGAACTGAGTTTAAAAATATTATTACATATGGATTCGTGATCCTAGTACAATCATCATATATTAGAAAAAACTTCAACTTGCATTCGACATAAATCTCATTCAGTTTAGTTAAAACATTCACCATTGCATTCACATAATTAATTTAGTTATAAATTCATCAAAATAAACATTCACATTCGTATTGTTTCAATTAAGGTCAAAGTAATTAGAATTAGAACTAATCAATCCTTGTGGGACGATACTCAGATTCAAAATCCGTTTTATTACTTGTTAACGAACCGTATACTTGCGGTGATTTTAATCCAAAATATGTTTTAGTGAGCACCCGGACCCGAGCCCTAACTATGGTTGAAAAAGTAAGGGAGAATGTGGATCAAAGTTGGTATTTAGGTTTGTTAGTGACTTGAAAACAGCTTATAAGTAGCTATTAAGCTGTTAAGTATGGTAGAAAAGGGGATGAATGATTGACAGGATAGAGAATGTCTTGTTTGATTTTCTGTTAGTTAATTAGGTGAAAAAATGTAATAAATTTTTTATTTGGTCTTACATAGCAATTCATTTATGGAAAATCTATATGGACAAATTAATTTGTTGATAACTGAATTAGGTGGCATGTCTATGAGAAAACTATGTCAACATTTTCTTCTTGCTCTACAACTATTTTCCACGTTCATTTAGAATGTGTTTTGTTAACCTTAAAAAAGTACTTAAAACATTTTTTTTCGACAGTATGTGAGGTAATCTATGAAACACGAACAACTGCATAATCAAAGAAAAGGTAAGGTAAGAGTTTTTAAGAATACCAATATTCGACTACTCATTGAATAGAATTGTTCACTTTTTGAACTTTGATATTATATTGAAAATTAAGATTAGGTTCCTTTTTAAAGATCCTTAGAAGAATAACTCAAATCCTTCTATATTTATTAATTATTATTTTTACATATAAATCATGTAATTTGACCTTTAACGATTGAACTAATATTAAACAAAGGTTACGACGGTCGACGACGATATTAACATAACAATGGTGGTATGTTTCAAAAGTTGTTAGCATAATTCAAAATTGTTTCGTGTACTAACAAATGGTATGCTTATAGAATTGTTGGCATTAATTTGATTCTTATGTGCCATTATCAATTTACAAACGATTTTTTCTTATGTATCATTATCAATTTACACACTTTTTTATTAAGGAAAAATTAGCACGTCTTCTATGAAAGGATTAAGATTAACTTGTTTATTTAATCAAACTTGAGTGTAATTGAGCTCGATTTTTTAACATCTCTAAATTTTATACTTCGAGAAGAAAGAGACCTTAAAGGGATTAAAGGCCCGTTTGGCGTAGCTTTTACTTCTAGTTTTGCTTTCTATAGAAGAGTTTTTGAAGGAAGTTACCTTAAATTTTGTTTGGAAACTAATTTTTAAAAGTACTTCTTGATTAGAAAGTATTTTTAGATAAAATCACATTGGATCAGTTTCCTTTAAAAGTTCTTCCAACTAAAAGAAACATTTTTATAAAATTAGTCAAACGGTTGCAAAAATAACTTCTGAGTCTCAAAAGCTCATTTTAACTTTTCAAAAGTCATGTCACCGAGCATGAAGAAATTAACGATACGTCTTTATCTTTTGAATTGTTCTGTTGGATCGTTGCTCAAAATCTTTGGTCTCTATCTGAACCCGGGCCCTAACTATGGTTGAAAAAGCAAGAGATAAGTAGCTATTAAGCCGTTAAGTATGGTGGGAAAAGGCGATGAATATTGACAGGAGAAGTGGGAGGAAAAGGGGATGAGTAATTGACAGGACAGGTGGGAAAAGGGTATGAGTAATTGACAGGACAGGTGGGAAAAGGGTATGAGTAATTGACAGGAGAACTACAAGTTTCAAATCAAACGTACATTTTTGTTTAGTAAGTTATTCTCTAACACGTTCATCACCCGAATGTGTA